GGATTGAGCTTTACAAAAAAGAATCTGGTAAATATAAATATTCGTAATTTGATATCTAGCTTAAAAATAACAGTTTGAAGATCAAAGGGTATTAATTCAGTTCCGCGGAATCCAGATAATCCATTTTGAACAGTTATTGATTATAGATATGCTGCTTTGAAGACTATAAGGAATTCGATCTTGGTGATATAGTTGAAATAAGCTTTAATATACCTTTCAATTTGTTGGTTATATATTCGTTTTAAAATATTAAAACATTCAACATCGAGTGGTTAAGTAATATACAAAGAATGAGAAGGTAATGAAAAAGTTATAATATTGTGTTCTTTGCAATATTCTTGAAATACAATCGATTTGTAGCTTTTGTATCCGTCTAATATTAGTATTCGATAACTACCTTGTTTTCAAGCAATAGTATGCTTATCGAAGTGTTTAATCTATTCTAAACCTATCTCATTGTTCGTCCATCTATTATTAGTAACTTTAATCACCCAATCAAATAGAAAATCATTCTTAGTATACCAACTCGAAAAATGATTTTTGCTTTTAATCACTAAAAATGGAGGAATGCTTTCTTTTATACTATTGATGTATACAATTGCTGTAGTCTATTTTCGATTACCTGGTTGTATTGCTTTATTTCTGCTATATCGTTCAGTATTAGTTACAATCATCCCAGGGCATATAATATCCATCATAAAGCCTGTTTCATCGAAATTGTAAAAATCGTAATCGAGAATACCATATTTCGCCTATATATTCGATACTAATCGAAACCACTTTTCAATAAGTTTTGAATCTTTGCAAAAAGCTTTTTGAAAATCATAATATAATTAAAATGTATCTTTAATTCTGGCTGGCGTTATACAAATCGATATACCCAGAGCTTTCCAATGTAATGTACTCTATAAGTATCGAGAATATTATTCACTATATCTTCCACATTATTTAATCGAGAGGCAAATCCTTGTATATCTATATCAAGGATATATTGAAGAATTACTTCATTTTCTAATTTAGTTAATTTTTGAATTAGTAATCGATATTCCTGTAACAGAGTTAAACTGTTTATTCGATTCCGAAGTGTTGTTTCAGGGATATTGTAGAGTTTAGCAGTATTCTAGTGATTTATTTTTTTTGATTTATTAATAGCTTTAATAGCTAAGATAATCCGAGCTTCTTTTGAAGTGTTATTCATTGTTGATTGTTGATTAAACGTGTATTGAATTGAAGAGTTGCAAAATAGTGAAAAAGTGCGCGAGGCACTGATATGCGCGACGCACTGATAAACCACGTTATATCTTTTTGTTTTATACTAGAATACTAAAGATTAAATTATAAATTTATAATCGATTTGATCTATCTTTAGCGAATATTATAATAATATAATTGGCTTTAAAAAATCTTTATATAAATAGTTACTTGATATATAGAAACAAAAGAACTCAATATAACTAACTTCTCTACTAATGTTTCTATAACTCAAATTAGAATCCTAGTAATAGTAATACTCGAATAGAAACTAGGTTCCAATTCTTGTCTAGAATACTTGAGATACCTAGGTATATACTAGAATAATTACCGGTACTTTCTTTGTATTATATCTTTGGATACAAAGATTCATACTAATCAAACTGTTGTTAGACAAAATCTTTCAAAGAGCATTCACATTCCCTAGTCCATCTATTTTGGATGTTATTCAGAGATTTTGTTAGTATCATATTTCATATTGTATTGAAAATCCCGGCGTCGCGGTAACTTTATAATAGAAGTGGGTTAAATACCCCACGAATGTTGCTGAACGATGTCATGGGAGACGGGCCTAGTAAAAATACAAGCTAACTCTCAACCTCTCAATCCAGGAACTAAAACCAAAAGGAGGTCGTACCCAAACAACTTTAACTTCAACTTTAACTTCTACTCCACCAAAATTCTTTCACAATCCATCAGTCAAAACGAATAAATTCCTTCGATTTTCGTCTTTTGGCGAAACCTCATAGCCATCTCGTTTTACGATTGTCATATTACAATATCTACAATTTGGAAGGAAGAACGATAAACTACAGCAAACGACCTCCCTTCTTCCTTCTTTCTTCGACAACCACCGGTGTCTTCACAAGACACATTCGACCAATACAACAAACTGGCAGGGAATAAGAGGAGGAGCTTTTCCTCCCAGGGAGGTCTGCTCAACAGAATGTTTGGCAGCTCTAGTTCCCCACCAAAAGAGTCCGCGGCTTCCAGCTCATCTACTCCTACCTCTTCCGAATCCAGCGCCGATTCATCAACAGGACTCAACAATCAAGGCGATGCATCAACCGCGTTAAGAGCTCTCGATGGTGAGAGTGGCACATCGGAAAAGCGCAGTGGTAACGGCAGTCCTCCTGGTCGCGCAATTCCAGGCGATGGTTCTGGAGAGAAGAAACGCCGGAGCAGTGGGGTTGGTGGTAAAGCCAGCTCTCTTCTTGCTAGTGCTAAAAACTCCTTGCACTTTAGTCAAAGTCCTAATTCTTCGGGATTCATGACTGGTAGATCGGGTGATACGGTTACACAGACACCGTTGCAGAAGCTCGGAAAACAAGATCCGGCGTTGGCGGTTCCTCAGGGTCAGCATAATAATTCGGCTGGAGAATCTCGTCCAGGTCCCCGATCAACATTCAAAGTTGGTGTCTGGGAAGATAAAAATAAGAAATGTCGTCGAACGATGGAAGATACACATGCTTTCTTGTACAACTTCTTGCATACACCCGCCCCCGTTGTGGGGGCCGATTCCAGTTCGAAGTCGGAAACGTCAGATAAGGTGGCTGGTGGTTCATCCGAAAGTCTTGCTCGGCCGGGATCTGCGCAGTCTATGATGGAGACAGATAATGGTTATTTCGCAATATTCGATGGCCATGCAGGTACATTTGCTGCAGATTGGTGTGGAAAGAAATTGCATCTCATATTGGAAGAGACTATACGAAAGAATCCAAATACGCCTATCCCTGAACTTCTCGACCAGACCTTTACAACTGTTGACGCTCAATTGGAGAAATTGCCTTTGAAAAACAGCGGCTGTACTGCAGTCACGGCAGTTCTTCGCTGGGAGGATAGGATACCAAATGCTTCATCTGCCACAGGCTCTACCGCCATTGCACCCGCGACTGCCGCTGCTGTCAAAGCCGCTGAGGAAATTTCAAAGAGTGAAGATAGTGGTGTAGATATGAACAAATCTACTGCGCAACAACCAAATGCCCCTACTGGAGATGTTCATGCAAAACTCAAAAGCACTTCTTCTCGTGCTCGAGTTCTGTATACGGCTAATGTTGGAGACGCACGTATCGTATTGTGTCGCAATGGAAAGGCTCTACGTCTGTCTTATGATCATAAGGGCAGTGATGAGAATGAAGGAAAACGTGTTGCAAATGCAGGTGGTTTGATCCTCAATAATCGTGTCAATGGAGTTTTGGCAGTTACTCGTGCATTGGGAGACGCTTATATGAAGGATTTGGTTACAGGTCATCCATACACGACAGAGACTGTGGTACAGCCTGATAGTGATGAATTTATCATACTGGCTTGCGATGGTGTAAGTCGCCCTATTTTCTATATCTAGAATACTACTAATTCATGTCATGATAGTTGTGGGATGTCTGTTCAGATCAAGAAGCAGTTGATCTCGTTCGCCATCAACAAGATCCTGTCGCCGCAGCTAAACAACTTGTCGAATATGCTCTCGCACGTTTCAGTACCGACAATCTGTCTTGTATGATCGTTCGATTCAACCGACCCCTTCTTGTTGCAACCGCCAAAGATTCTCACGCTGCAATTGGCGTCGAAGGCGATGGCAACATGGGATTTGGCACACTATCCGAAGCAGATAAAATCGTCTCAGAATGCAGAAAAAAGGTTAATGATGGCGCGTCAAACCTCGGTATTAGTGGTAGCAATAGTGGATTTGGACATGATCCCAAGTTGGATGGAGCAGTAGAAGATGATGATGATGAAGCAATAACACCGATGGAAAGGGTGGTAGAAGAAGAACCTCAATTTGTGGAGGGTGATTCCTCGGCCCCTGTGACAGACTCAAGCGCAGTGGAGCAAGCAAACGCGGATGAGACGATCAAAAATTTGCATTTGCCGGAGGGTATTGCTTAGTAACATTTTTTACAATAGCAACTCAACTCATCCTTGTGTGTTATATTTTGGGTGGGAAGAACAGTTGAAGGGGGCGGGATTTCTTTTTCTTGCGGTTTACTGAATTGAAATTATTGGGTTCTTTTAAGAGGGGAGGGGGTGGGAATGGATGATGACTTGGTAGGATGTATTTGAGTTATCAATGGGAGGGGAGCGGGGGGCTATGGCTGGAGGGGTCGCTCGCAGGCGGATGAATGCTATGAATATGAATATGAATATGGGGAAGCTGGCTTTGGTGGGCAAGGGGAAGGGAAAGGGAAATTGGGGGGAATGCAAATTAAAGTAACGCGAGGCAATGGCAATGGCAATGGCAATGGCAAGCAGCGCAAATGCAATGCAACGTATGCATGATCGAATGAAATGAGTTGAAAGGAATGAAAACTATTATTGTACCGCTCTATGTTTTGTACTGGTGATTTTGTGTGATTTTGTGTTTATAATTTTGTGAAGATTGTATGTTTAAAGAAGGCTGGCTGAGTTCTGACTGATGTGATGGTGTGCGGTGTGTATAGTGATAATGACTTTTAAAATGGTTGGTTTGGTTTGGTCTGAATTGATTTTGAGATTGAGATTGAGATTGAGATTGAAATGGAATCTAAAAGGAGAGATGGAGAGAGATAGAGATAGAGAGAGGAGAGAAGGAGATGGATTGTGGATAGTATTACAAAATTAAACCAAAATTATGATGCAGAGTCAGATCTTAGTAGGCCTTTTTTATATCTCCTTCCTTCCCTCCCTCCTCTCTCCATATATCTTTTCCTCGTCCCTTTCCTTTCCCTTTCCCTTTCCCTTTCCTCACGCTTGTGTTATCCAGTGTGCCTCAATGTGAAATTCTGTTGGTGTTGAGGGGGAGTTTAGATTGTTGTTGTTTTTTTTTCTCCTTTTCTCTTTCTTCAAATTCTCTTTCCTCAAGTTATCCTTCCTTAATTTCTCTTCTTAATCTTTGCTCTGTCTCGCAAATATACATCTCTCCATCTGTTTCCCAACACCAATAATCATATCCCGATCCACTAGTACGAGTAATGGATGGACTACCGGTACCATTACAATTAAAGATATGATGCTGATTGCTTTTGTGTGTTCGGAATACCGGTGTGCGATGCTTTGGGGTCAACGGGGGCGGGGAAGGAGTTGTGGAGTGGTGGGTGGGTGAGGTATACGTAGGGGTGGTGGGGGTATGTGATTTCTTCTTCTCTTTCTCGTTCTCTTTCTCTTCATCTCTTGATGCTACTGTTAATACTGGAACTGATAATACCACTAGTGTAAAAACATCTGTAACCAGACGAACGAGATCATTCGAAGGGTGTTTTGGGCTTACACTCTCTAATCTCTCTTCGTGAGCCATGGTATGATTCATCGGAGGAGTTATGTGCATGATATCTGCAAGTCTCCGCACCATACTCAGATCATGGGATTGTCGACCTAACAAACGACGGTGACTTGAAGTGGGAGTGGAAGTGGAAGTGAACTCCGGACCATGTGACAGGCCTCCCATTCCAGCTATCTCTCGATGTTTGGATTTCGGAGGGAGAAAATGTATAACCTATACAGGGACTAAAATATCTGGCTTGCTTCCATCAAACACACCGATATTGTGTGTAAAGTTGTGCCACGTAATCTCTCTGATCCACTGTCCATGTAATTGTACAACTTTGATCATTATGACTGAATATTTTTTCCTTATCATCGCCTATTTTCCAAGTACCGTACCTCATCCCTATCACATACACCCCCAATCAACTAAAAATGCTCTTATTGGACGCCAGGAGACATTCCGAACTTGAATGCCAATCTCGTAATCGTGATTCCAATAATTTTCATTGAGTTTACCTCCAAATTGGCAGCTCTTATAAGTATTTACAATTCAAGGGTGCAAACGGTTATTCAAGAAAGCTTTGGAGAGTGTCAGGCTATATTGACTCACAGGTTCTGGTAGCATGCTTCTGCAGCTCGGCAATTCTCGCCTTTTTTCTGAGTAGAGAAGATCCTCACGCTCGTGATGTGAGCGTGATGACATGTTGAAAAGAAATTGGTGCCAGAAACTACTCTCCTTGGCACCGAGATATCAGATTTGCAGCGATAATTTGATTGAAGAGAAGGATATGAATCTGTACCGATATCATACTAGGAATGACTTTTTCAACGAGACCCATCGATTGGGCTCCCCGCTTCTGTCGTATCTGATTCTCCAATAGACATGGGGTCTGAAGGGGAGAAGCTGTCATTAGTCTGTCGCTCTCAACCCTGGTGGCGCATTGATCGCTGATAGGATTCACTATACTTTCTAGTCCCACGACCGCGATAAAGCAAAGTAGGACCTTCTGTGAGTACTTCATGATTTCCCCAATGTACTTTGTATGAGTCTCAATCATAGCACTAATATTATATCAGCGGTGCATTTTCGTCGCCCGCATACTTGTACTATGGAGACATTGCCGATACAGGATTATTGATAGAATTGACTGTATATTGTATGACAATTCGACATAGGAGTTCATGCTCAATGTGGCCTTCGCCGCTACCAAAGAAATCGCGGGCGTCCTTTGCTGCCGCTAATGTGTATTGATACGATGAAAAGCTTTTTCGATTGCACAAGAAAGTAACCACTTCAAAACCAAGCACCGACTTCATCCATCCTGTTAAACGACCCCGGCTTCTGACGGGTCATTCTCTGTGCCAGCACTCGAATGAGAGCTATAAAACTGTAACCAGATTTAAGAGACTTTGAGTACCGAGATAGTGCAATATAGATCTTAAAGTGAGCTATCTAAACTAGAATTCGACACTGCTACATAGGATGTTGGAATGGAGAGAGGCCGCCGAATTATGAGACCTGTGTGTTTCTTTGAAAGCGTGCTACTCATAATCGTTGACCAGGCCGGATGAGCTGGTTACGCAAACTTCGTTTTAGATGTTGATTCTGAACGAGACATAAAAACGCATGGTTGCTGTTAAGTCAAACACTCAGGCACATGTACTCGAGTACATTTTCACGGTTTTCCTTCAATTTCCATCCGGTATCTGAAGCCTTGCCTATTCGAATACTAATTCAATATCTGACTCAATGCCTTGTTTACACTTGTAAAGGTACTAGCGGAGGCCGGAAGCTAGAAAACCGCCAAAGAACGAGGGCTTGTAGCTTGGTTCCAGGTATGCCAGCTAGTCCTGCGTTGTAGCTTGTCAATCGAAGTCTTGCTGTCATACCTACCGTTGTTTATATCATACACATATTCTCATACGAGCAGATGAGAAAACATCATCTACCCAAGCAAACAATTTGACATAAGGACCTAGTGACAGAACAACGAACGTGATATTGGATGAAAGGAAAAATTGTACGTCGGATCATCCTCCTCCACCGGTTAGCCAATGGAATCAGTGCCCTTAAAGTTTTGTTGCACGTCTGAATTTCATTGAAAATCGGTAGTACCGATTCTGTTGCCCTTTGAGATTGAGACTTGAGTAGTAAGCTCAAGCTTCTGATTGGTTGGCGTCCCATGGTTATGAACCAGATTGGACTGCACTTCCCTCGTCGGAGCGGATAGCCTTATACTGAGAGCCTCATACTGCATTTACCTGATCTGCAGGTACAGCTTTAGGCACGCAGACCAATAGTATCCTCTTGATTGCAGATTTCTACTTCAGCACCGTGCAAATTCATGTTGGCTTTTGTCAAGTCTCTACTTGAGATCCGCCCGCTATACTATATGGCAAAGATTGAACCGGATCTATCGAAGTTGCCCATCGAATTAAGAATCAGAGAGAGTGACCAACAACTGTTTGCTGACTTAACACTTTGAAGGCTTTTGAATTTATTGATGCTATTCTATTCTGAGGAATACTAAGGTTACTTGAGTAGGTAGCCAAGCTTCTTGTCCATCGCCGCGCATTTGTCAGCAATCCGACATCATGATGGAGCTTATCGTGCCGCCCCGCGCCTTATCGTTTTTCTCTCCTTTCCAAAAGAAACAAAGCAAACAAACATAGGTAGAAATACTCTCACACCAATCACAGCTATTCTAGCGGAGACTTGAATTGGTTTTCCTTAAAGCCTCAAAGTATCCTTGCCAAACTTTGATCGGTAACGGTAACCTTAGACAAAGCTACAGAACTATTCCACATTGTCCACCATGGCGACAGACAACTACGAAGCTGCAATTACTCTGATTGACGAAGCTCATGCTTTAGATCCAAATATTAGCATAATAAATGGCGAAAGTAAACCCTACGAGCTTCACTACGCACAAAAGATGACACACTATCTCTCTCTCCGCGCTCCCAATGCTTCTCCTATCCTCAAAGTTGCCATTCGAGCACAACATTTTCGACGCTGGGAGGTTCCACGATCTTCTTATCCGATGACCAAACCTGGCTATCTGAATTGGAGATCCTTTCTCAAGAAACGGCAGGGTGATCTCGCATCTGCGATATGCATTGGTTGCAATTTTACAAGTGAGGAGGCGGAAGAGGTGGCTAGACTGATCAGGAAAGAGGATCTGAAGAAGAATGAGGAAACACAAATCTTGGAGGATGTTGCTTGTCTGGTATTTTTGGATGACCAATTCGAGGCCTTTGAGAAGGGCCATGATGAAGAGAAGATCATTTCGATTCTGAGAAAGACTTGGGGGAAAATGAGCGAGGAAGGACATTGTTTGGCCTTGCAAATACCAATGAGCGATACAAGTAAGAGCTTGATCCAGAAGGCCTTGGGGTGATTTCGGATCTGTTGAGACAATGAGATGGGTGATGTGGCTCGGGACTTGAAGCGCAAAGATTTGTTTATATGTTGTATAGTATATTTGGTTAGGCAGGCTACAAACGACTTGGGTAGGATTGTACAGGCTAATACTGCCGTGGCAATGGACAGGTGACTGGCATATGGAAGGCTCACAATCAACTCGGTTCGAAAGCTGGAGTTGAGCTTCTACAAGCAATTGCTAAGACTTATGCAGCTGAAATTGCTGCTCTTGAGATGATGTTGAGGAGACTGCTATCATTGACGTTGAGATTGTGTTATCACAGTAGCTGATTTTGAAGCTTAAGATGAATGAACTGCATGAAACGGGCGCTTGCTATGGGCATTAATTATTATATATTGAAGACGGAATATTCACATATAAGTGAGTACTCCACTCTATTTGACCTTTTCTATATTTCATGAGCTCTTGGATTCTCCTCCGGACCACCGTATCTGGCCGGCTTTACGGCCCTTCCTCAACGCTGATGGACTGCAATCTCCAATAGACCAAGACACCGGGATAACCCAACCAGTCTTCCCACTCCTCCTCCGTCATTTCAAACATACCCTGTCCACGAAACCAATTTGTGTGCTTCACTTGATACCTTAGATATGATCTGTCACCATACTTACCATAGTGATCCTCTAGATAATCCCAAATCCACTCCTTGCAACATTCATTATCCCAAGACATCATCATTCGCATTTTCGAAGGCATAGGCTTGATTTCCCCGGAAACGACGGGTAGTTTGGACGACTTTTTAGGCGACTGTCTTAACAGACTCTTTGCTTCCTCCGTCGATATCTCATCCGTTACTTTAGATTCTTGCCCTCTCAACTGTTCTCCTTTGTTCGCTGTCGATATTTGGTGCTGTTCTTTCGACTTCAGCCGTCTCAATCGGTCCTCTAGCTCTCCTTTAGCCAGCTCGTCCTCTACCCTCCACCTGATTTCCATCTCCTTCAAAGCGCGAATTTTTAAATCTTCAACATTGTACAAGTCAAGCCTTAGGCTCTTCCGCCTTAAATCTTGCAGGTAACTATATTGTTCTCGGCCTCTTTCGATATTCTTCTCCTTCTGCCATCTCTTGAAATTAGCCTTTTCTTGCTTTATTTCGTTCTTCATCCTCTTCTTTTCTCTCTTTCTCTTTTCTCTGTCACTCATTTCACCCTTCTTTCCAAACCCCAAGGCCTTCTTTAATGCTTTGAACTTAGATTTCGAGGATGGCTTTGTAGCGACATCGGAGTCGCCTGACGATGATTTAGTATTACTCATTGGACTGATTGGGTTTCATACCTTTGAAGTCAGGAGAACTGTTACTACCTGAACCTGACTGCGACATTATTATGTTGTTGGGCGATGTATTGGAAATTGATGTTGAATATGAAATATTAAAAGCGTTATAGATCTCAAGTGAAAAGCCTAAAATACGCTCTGAATGGAAGTGATGGGTGGAGTAGCTAGATATTACAGGTGGCTCTTTAGTCGAAGCTTTCTTTATACCTCACAATTTCCTTACTTTTACTAAAAGCAATCGTGATCAGCATGGAAAGCTTATCCATATATGATATAGTATGAGTGCAAGTGTACCATACCACCTTTTGACCTCATCTTTGGCTGTATTTTTCTTGGTTTGCTGGTATGTTCCAGACACTAGACTAGTAGAAAGCTTACCTTGATAAACCCCAACCCCCTTCCCCCCCTTCTCTGGATTTTGCTATGGCGTATGCTTCACTCGGCTCGCTGATGGAACTCTATGGAAATCCATACTAAAAGTCTTCATACAACAAATCACTCACCAGATCCCTCACCAAATCCCTCCCTCAATCCCAATATCATCATTGCCAGAGAGAGTAAAATTCTCTTAGCTATGATGATTGGTTTTCTTTGCATTTAGGAGGTCATCGTTTTCCTGCCTTGGTCCAAAGCCCCACCAATAGGATGCATATTGAGTACCGGTACTTCTCGAGTAGTGGCACTCCACTTCAAAGACTACCTAGTACGTACCAAGCTAACGAGAGTACTAGTGGGAACTCCGCTAACCGGCGCAAACCCAGCATCATACTTATGCTGCTAGAAGGTTTGCAACTCGGGAAGTTAAAAACTTACGCTACCTAGTATTCCTGTGGTAGTTTACTACCGTGTGGCACGTGCTAGCTAGCTTACCCGAGTTGCGGACTTTTTGGCGGCATGAGTATGACAGATGCACAACATAATGGGGATTTAACGGAAGCGCAAGTCGCCTAGGTTTACCTTACCTACATCATCTGCCGGCCATTAGTTCAGTCCTGTCGATTCTTTGCAAAATATGGCATTTCGGTGTCTGAATATATCAATGTATTACCTAGGTAACCTTAGGTATTTCAATTGACCTGATCAAGCAGCGGGAAACAAATGTTCTGAGCAATCGTGCTTTTAGTGTCTACAAGTAGGTAGCTACTAGGGTAGCTACTAGGGTAGGGGTAGTGGTAGGGGGTATGGGGACCACAACCACACACCTACAACTGCAAAGATCTACAACAAAACAACCATACAATTATCATTGTGATTCCATTCAGAGAGCAAAATGATCATGCGTTGGCGGTAGATCATCAACAGCAGCGATGAACGCACTTATATTGTCAACGATATATACTCGAGGAAGTAAATCTAACTTGGGTTACTGGGAACGAACGCAATAACGTCACAGTATTGCATTGATCTACAAAATCCTATTCCGTCAAGCAGAGATACTTTGTCTTGGGCCTGACGTTCGTTTTTGTCAATCATCATCAATAGTGTACAAGTAAGTAATAATCCGGAGTTTCTGTTAGGTTGAACGATACCGGTAGTATTGAAATATGCACTGCACATGACGTTTCAAACGAGCACGACTGAAAATACAACATAGTGTTGCAAAATCATTACCTGAAAAATCATCGATTGAATTGATCTCAAGACTGTGGTGTACTCTAACACCGGTATTATACCGGATAACTCAATGTGTACCCACCACCACCGCCCACCACCCCAATTTCAATTGTGTTGACCAACGCTCTTCATCAAGTCTCGAGTTCTTTCGACTCCCTTCCATCTGAAGCAGAAACTGGCATGGGAGACCATGGCGATCGGATCGGGAATGCGACGTAGAGACAAAGCAAGGAACGCGAGGAACGAATGATCTCCAAGATCCCCAATTCTCAACACTTCCAATGAAGCATCCGACCCTCATCTCCTCTCCAATACCAACACCAATCAACCCTTCCCATGCAAAGAACGACATCAAAACCAATAATTGATGCAAAACAGCACACCGAAAACTGGCATACCAATCTCAATGACGATTTCCCTTTCAGACCAAAGCCAATATCAAGAAGCCAAACCAAAGCAATCCCTGCACCACACCCTCCACTCGAAACTTCGCCTGTCAGCACCCACCATCTAATCTAAGCAAGTCCATCCTTTCTAAACTTCCTCTCAATAAATTCCGCGTTGACCATCCTCCCCGTATAATTATAGAAGCCGGCTTGTAATTGCAACCATTGTGTACTCCTGTGTTTCTCCATGAGATACTCTAATGTTTCGCAATCTTCGGCTGACCATATTTTATCCGGTCGAAGATGTCCATTTCCTTGTCCATTTCTATTTCCATGTCCATGTCCGTTTGAATGTCCTTGCGCACGCTCTTCTCTCTCCTCTTCCTCTTCCTCTTCCCCTTCATCTCTATTTCTATCAAGCTCGCCATAGGATTTGCGCTTCTTCTTCTTGTCTTGTTTCGAGGAGGAGGAGGAGGCAGACTTGTGTTTAGGGTGGTGGTAGGGACAGTTGGGTGAGATGTAAATTTCGTCTTCGGTGTCTTCGGTGTTGTCGGTTTGTGCGGTGCACTTGATCTTTTTCTTTTTCTCGGGTTTCTTGGGCTTCTCTTTCTCTTCTTCATCTTCTTCATCTTCCTCTTTCTCCTGTGCCTGCAAAACCTTGTATCTCGCCACCACATCTTTCTTGCTGGCACCTAATTCCCCTGCGATATCCTTCCACGTTTTATTTTCCTTCTTCATAGACATGAGCTTCTCGTCTTGTTCTTTGGTCCATTTATTGCCATCGACAGCTTCTACCTTGCCATTCTTATCATCTTCTTTAACCTCTGTAGGTTTCTCGGCGTTCGAGTCCGTCTTCTCCTTGGAATCTATGGCTATGGTATCAGCGCTTGGTTCTTCAAGCTTAGTACTATCAGATTCGGGTTCATCCTCGCCTTTGGATGCTGTCTTAGCATCTTTGTCTTTATCTTTATTCTTTTCTTTATCCTTATCCTTTCCCTCGACTTCAACCTCCACGATTACGATCTCAGGTTCGGGTTTAGTATCTTTTTCTTCGGTGATTGGGTTTGCAGCTGTTTCAGGGACAACATCAGTGATGGGCTCTTCGGCCTTCCCCTCGGGTTTCTTCTCTTCCTCTTTCTTTCCTTCATCTTTCTGCAAATTCAACGTATGCTCACCCTTATCATCAGCACTCTCATCCTTCTTCACCTCAACCTTCTCCTCTTTCTTCACCTCCTCAACAATCTTCTCCTCCACAACCGTCTCCAAAACCTCCTCCACAATCTTCGCCTTCACAACCGTCGTATTTGACCCTCCACTCGCACTCCTACTTCTACCATCACTCGTTTTTCTCCCCCCCACCTTCCTCACAACCAACATCTCCACTTCACCCCCCACTACTCGATTTTGATTTCGATCCTCGAGTATCACTATATTCCTACCCTTCTTATCCTTTCCCGCCGTAGCCCGAATACGATTACTATCGCTTCGCTGATGAGTCGCGGCTACCGCATCATTGGCTGCAGCATTGATGGAAAGGAGCGAGCCGCCGAGCACCCAATCCGTAAAAGAAACATGAATTTTATTCTTGGGTTTGGCGGTCTGGCTGCCGGCCAGAGAAGCCTGAGTGAGCGCTGGAGAAACCATGGGTGACATGTTGGCGATAGCTAGCGGAATGAGTGAGTTGATGGTGCTCTTCAGTTCAATTGAGAGCTGAAAATATGATAAAGCCTGTTGCAATTAAAAGTAGGAGTATGTGAAGAACTTCCAGATTCACCTAGCAAAATTGGATGAAACGAGATAGGATTCGCGCGACGATGATGGATTCGAAGATTATTATCTCGATGAATATTGCAAATGCAATTGTCGTCAGCATCAAAATGCGATTCTCGATTTGAGAAAGATTCAGCGTCTTGTGGTTGATGTCGATTCGTAAAGTGAGATCGAAAAAGCTAGGTCGGGAATATGAAGATTGATTGGAGATTGGGGGGATTATAAAATCATTTGCCGATGTTGATCGATGCAAGGGAGAGCTTGATGTCGTCGCAAAGAAGCGATGAAATCAAAGATCTTTGCTAAGAGATCTAGTTTATTTGTCTTTGGATTGGTTGTTGTGTTGTTGTTATTGTTATTGTTGGGTTTTGTTAGGAGGTAGATGTGAAGAAGTTGGAAAAAACTAAATATAAACCGAGAAAGAAAATAAATCTTGCTTTCGGATTATTCAGATTTTCAGATTAATACTCCACCTTGACTTTGGCAAAGTAAATATAAAAAAGATTTTGATCATCTTGTTGTTAATAATATTGGCCGGACGACCAACAACATGAGTTTAAATTTTCGACGAAAAGAAAACTTGATCATGGATCTCATGAGGGGTGGTCAAAGTGAAGTTTGAAATGTGTGAAATGAGAAAAGATTCTTGCATAAGATTTGCAAGTATATGAGCTGATCATATGAGCTGATTATAGTATGAAGAACATTAGAGCCTTGGGGAAAAGTGTACCATGTAGAGGGTGATTCACAATCGATTGCTTTGGGAAAATCAGTTCTTGATAGGAGCCATCAGAAGAACCATCATCCATCGTTTGAATCTTGTTGACTGCTTGATCATTATCTGCTTTTCTCTATCTTGAAAATCTTGTAGATATCCTCATCTCGTCTGAAAATATCGAAGCATGGCACCGCCAAGAGAATACCTGTTGAGTCATGCCCAGTCTAGAGCTGTTGAGAATACTTACTAGATTTTGAAGATTTGTATATCCAGAGCTTACTGTTGTGATTATTGAGAAATCCAAAAGGCTGAATCCGCATCACTGCATATATGTATGGTGTACAGTATCAATGAGAGGGTGGGTGAGTGGAACGCCAGCGGAAACGGTTGCATGCTATTGGGATAGCGAGTACCGTATGTAGATATCCAAAAGACAAGCCGCAAATCAAGCTGCATCATGTCAAAGCTGATCAGAGTAGTCATCATACTTTTAAACGTCTTCGGTCAGCTTGGTGAACGAGGTTGACCTTCTGGCGGCTTATCTTCTTCCCATTATGGGTAATCTGATGTTGTAGACAATGAGATGAATGTACGGTGAGGTAGTGATAGAGCTTGGAGGCCAGGGTTTGCTAGGTGGCAGTGATATTTTGATTTTTGAAAGTATTGGAAGTAAGCACCGTAGGACAAACAACATCTACCCTGACACCTATGAGTTGGTGGCGGTGTACTTACCGAGTACGAGGATATTGTATGGACGATAAATTCAGCCTCCTGCCACCATGAACGTCATCCATCTTAGATCGTACATACGGATATGGTGTGAGACTAGGTGAATTTAGCACACATAACAACAGTTTTTGCTGTTGGTCGAGATTCACGAATGCGATATTAACACTGCGTTGGCCTGGACCATATTTCTTGTTGGAGAAAGGGTCGGCGTAATTTGCGTAGATGGTAACAAACAACGGCTCATCATCATGGGTTAACGAAGCCAAAGCCCCAAAGACTCTGGTAAACCTGTTAATCATGCTGTCGTTTTGAGAATGCAGGAGTGCAACGAAATATGAGTACTTCACAGCAGCACACATTATTCTGAGGTAAGCTGGCTCGTTATAAGCGCGAGAATCTAGATGACTAGCTCCCCACAACTCGACAACGACGTAAACTGATGTGGTGTGAGATTTGATGGTCGAGATTCGATCGAGATGGTGAACGCTTAACGAGAGTGCAAATCGTGTACTACTTGTGGACGATGTCAGAGTCAAGAGGCGCAGTCAAATTGATGGAGCCGGTAAGACAAACACGAATCATCGTATATTTACCTGCTAACAGACGTTGGAACCTCCAACTTGTAGGTAAATCCACCAACCAATACCTCCTAAAATCCGTAGTAAGCAATCGATATGAAGTTAAAGAATTTGGCCGCGTAAGATTCTGACAGGGCTTAATATACTAACTCTGGAATGATACCCTGCCTCGAACAAGTCTCAGATCCCGCATATCTACCGGAATCGTAGCCAAGCGATCGGAGAAGAAAGCTTAAAGGAAAGCTTGATGCGAAAGAAAATGCTTATTTCAGCCATTCCATCAATCCCAGAATAGCACAGACATGACAAGCTTTCGTAATTACATCAAGCCACCCGCAGTGCATATTTTCTCTAAAAGTGGAAACATCGGTTCTCTGCCAAACGATTACAGCCGCTAGCTACCAAATGCTTGGGTGTATTTCCCAAGGAAGTGATCTATCTCTGATAGATAACGTTTTTGAGATGGAAACGTGGTGCAGAAAGCGGTGCAGAGTAGAATTGAATATTATTCTATGAAGAGGAATCAAGATTCTTGAGTAGGTAAAGGGCAGAAAATAAGGCTGAGAGCTAGTCAGCATCAGTCGGAGAGGAAAGTAAGGAGATGTTAATACGAGTTTGGTAGTCAATGTCAGGCTTTATTCCTCGGATTTATTGGACCGAGAAAGGCATATAGAGAGCCCGGGAATTCCACAGGAAACACCTCCATCATCAAGCACATCCTTCAGTATTCAGATATCTCATTTAGCATCAAACATTCAAACCCACACCACAATCAAAATGGTAAAATTTTGAACCCTTGTTGCAGCAATTTTCCTCAGGTGAGAGCCGAATCCTCTTACGGACCAGGCCGTCCTTGAAACTCCAGCTAACTCGCGTTCCTAATCAAGCGGCGCTGCACTCGCAGTCCCACAAGGTGGCCCTGTCAAAGGATTGACTTCATGCTTTACATACACCACCACTGTCCCATACACTGGCTTCCGTACGTAGAGCTGAAACACGACACTATAATACATTTCGTCTGAACAGAACTTACTGATAACGAGTAGATTCATGCCCAGAGAAGCCCGTTTGCCCTGTACGCCCCGATTGTATTATTCTTGAGGTTAACACGACCACTTTCCCAGCCGCAGACACATTATGCCCAAGTACAACAACGGTGACGGCAACAGCAGCAGCGATTTCTTGCCCAACTTGCCAAAATGACTGTCTCACACAGCTTGAGACCATCACCACAACCTTAGCAGCATGAGAGACCGTTCGAGGTATTGGAGTGAAGATTCGGGTGAGCTTTGAAGTAACTGGAGATTGAAAAGAGGAGTTCCTTGATTTATTGATGGTGCTGATACATTCATTCTAAAGTTCTTGAGAAAGGAAACGAATGTATTCGATTTGTTTGCTGCTCATCTACTCGAGTGTGTCCAACAGTCCTAATAAAGTCCACATTTAGTATCTGGATGGTTGACATCTTCCAATGAAATCCAATAATCAAGACATATTTGATAATGGAGTTTGGCTTAATCAATTAAAACTGTATTAAGAATATCATCGATTCTCTCTGGTCTTTTGGATTGTATCCGGACTACTGGTCACTCTGACCCACTCAAGCATATTGACCCTCAGTATCACTAGATGTAAGGATCGATAATGCTGCAATGATGAACTGAACAGTCTTTCTCTTTTTTTGAACAGTTATTTTACCCTAGCCAAGGAATATTAGAGAAGATAACAAGTGGAGTGGAGAGGAGGTTGTAGACTTCTTGTAGTTGAAGACATTTAATGGTCTTTGGCCTTTACTGTACGTGATTGGATGGCCGTAGCATAGCACGTGGATACTCGCTAAAAAGTTCGCGCATCTTCCCCCACATCTCAGCAATTTCGAAAATTTTGATCTTCAAAAACATTATCGACAAACTTACGCAAATCCTCACCATTAGAACTTTATCAATTCTACTGGAAGACTGTCATCATGTCTAAAATCACAGTCGGTATGTTTGCTTCCTTTCGCAGTACTCTTAGAAACAGAGACTTCTATCAAGCCAGTCGTCAATTGAAACAAATACTAATTTCTTCGCCTCACAGCCGGAGTGCGTACCAACGTACAAAGTCTTCTTGAGTACTCTCTCGAGACCAAGAAGAGAAACTTCCTCGAGACCGTCGAACTTCAAATCGGCCTCAAAAACTATGATCCTCAACGTGATAAGCGTTTCTCTGGAACCATCCGTCTCCCAATCGTTCCCCGCCCAAACATGACCATCTGGTACGTCTGCGAACGCGAATATTTATAATATGGGAAGCAAATACTGATTGATGGATAGCATTCTCGGTGATCAACACGATATCGATCGTGCCAAGCACGGTGGTGTTGATGCCATGTCCGCTGATGACTTGAAGAAGCTCAACAAGAACAAGAAGTTGATCAAGAAGCTCGCACGCAAGTACGATGCTTTCGTCGCATCCGACACCTTGATCAAGCAAATTCCTCGTCTCTTAGGTCCTGGTCTTTCCAAGGGTTTGTTTTATCCGTTCTCCAATTTTAGACAATCATGCTAACTACTCCGTTCACAGCCGGTAAGTTCCCAACCCCAGTCTCCCACAACGAAGATCTTAGCAACAAGATCAACGAAGTCAAGTCCACCATCAAGTTCCAATTGAAGAAGGTCTTGTGTATGGGTGTTGCTGTCGGAAACGTTGAGATGACTGAGGATCAATTGATCTCCAACATCATGTTGGCTATTAACTACCTCGTCTCTTTGTTGAAGAAGGGATGGCAAAACGTTGGCAGCTTGACCATCAAGGCATCTATGTCTCCTCCTAAGCGCATCTACTAGATTACCCTTCTCTTTGTTGAGCAAGTGGTATGAAGTGGATAAGTTGGAGGTAGCTAGGTGAAAACTTAATACAAGCAATGAATGTTCTACGGCCAAAGATTTTTCAGTACCAATGAGTGATTCTGAAATGTGATATACGATGAAATGTTGATATCTATGACTACCTAGGTATGATGGTAGACACCTGTACAGCCACGCGTCCACGTCCTTGATGAATATCTATAAAAAAAAAAGGGATGGGGAAGCGTCCTTTTTATGGGTATCGATCGATTATGCCCTTCCCAGTGTTCTATTGCTCCTAGTCTTAAATATCCCCCCTCCTACTTCTTCATTCTCCTTTCCTACCTAGGTAATCTTGACTGCCACTGTTGTACTACCGATCGTTTGTTTGCCTTGTTCGTTCATGGTCTTCGGCATTGGAACACTCACTGACTTGCCCGATAAACTCGGCCCCTTTATTAATTTTGAAAAAGAATTTATGGCACAATCTTCGTGTCCTCGCAAATGCGACCCGAACTTACCTTCCGCGACGCAATTCGCGATACAGCTGTAAAAAGAAGCGCAGCTTACTGTCATACGAAATCCTTTTTGAAGAATATTATACAGAGAAGATATTGTTGAATCTCAAATTCCAGTTCCTTGGCTCTAAAGTACGGAGAGCATGCACGTATGCAGTATAGCTAGGTATTTCACAAATGAGTACAGCATATTCTTGAACTCTAATGCATGTGCATTGTTATTAGGGAAGCCGAAAACGAGATTCCATACACAACAGCAGAAATGGTTCGGAGCACGCAGCTTCAAAAGCTAGTCACCATTGCACTCAAAATTATATACTACAGTGTAATTCCAACCATCAACAACCCTACATACACACGGCAGCAATAAAGCCACGTAGGTAGATAGAGACCACCATACACAGGTAGGTGTGCAGATGCAATTAAATCTACATAGAAAATTCCTTTCCGAAATCATGTCGTAATACGCAATACGCAAAGCGCTTCTTTACAGATGCGATTTGCAAATGATAAAGTATGTAGTGACCACCCCACAGTCAAAATCCGATAGAATCGTCGAAGATGGCTGATTAGGAAGAGTGTTCTCCTTCTTTCAAGGGGGCCGGGAACGGAAGAAAATCCAACTTTTACTTCAAAAGAAGTAAAGGACAGCCCTCAGCGAGTCGCCATTGTAGACGAAGCCCCCATGTAAATGTTATAAGTATTAATTATAACCTCTACTGATGATGAAGAAGAAAAGAGAAATATTATGAGGAGGAAGGCGAGATATTTATATTGCAAACTTTTCCGCTAGATCTTTTAGCGCCTTTTTTGATGCGTTTTTTTTGCTGTGTTTGCTTTGCTAGTCCCATAATACTATGCACGTGAGTCTCGATATAAATTGTGTCTTACTTATATCACGTGTCTATATCTCTCCCAGTGTAACTCAACGATATCATTCTTTAAAACACATTACCGGTACCCCTTCATTTGTCGAACCATAAGCAAAGTACAACTCAGTCTCATATATACATATATACTGTACAGACAAACACTTGTCAAATGAGTGTCAATCGATCTTGTAATGATCTCGATTATCTAAAACTCCAAACTCCCTTTTGACACCAGAGTATGCCTAGCTGCATCACTTCTTCCAAAACAGTTACACCAGCTGTTCCCAACTTTTCAAATCCATTTTGTCTTCACTTTTCGTCTCTGCATCACGATAATGTTCAATGGCAGCGATGCTCCTCCAGCTGTCAATGGGCACCTGCTTTGACATAGGATGCTCTTACCCGTCCTTTTGTTGTGCTTTTCAACTCAACATTTAGTCAGGATCTCTCTCTTTCATTCATCATCTTTTATAGGTTTTGATCAAGACATCATAAAGCCAATAAATGAGCATGGCCCAAACCTTTCGATGGCTCCTTTGTGCTTGGTGGTGACAGAGCAAACCAAGTCACTCTCTGATTGGTCTGACTCGTGAATTTGGCCCCTTGATGAAATTGGGTATGTACACCCGAGTACAAAGCAAAGTACTCAAATATTCTCCTAGCAAAATACACTTTTACTAGACTAGACCTAAGTAGTACTTAAAACTTCCCCATCTCTTGGTTCTACGACAATTGATCGGTACACAGCACCCGGGTCCTTGTTATCGGAGTTGTCTTGGCTATATATGACTGTTTACTTTGACCACTTTTTTTTAATTCCAGAAAGTCTTTTTTGTATTGTCAGATTTGCCGTTTCAATTATTCATTCCTGACACGAGGTGTACATGGATTGGGTGATATCATCGCTTATTGGATCGAAAGCCTTTTTTGCCTTCTCTCACTATCAGTCTAGCCAGTGAATCGATATTGGTTACTAATGGCTTTGGCGATCACTTATTACACTTATTAGTAACAAACTACCGGAAACATATACAAAACCCACCCATATACGTGCATATTTCCGGTGTAGGGGATCAATGTGACGGGCCTTTATTTTGACGACGCACGCCTTTTGCACAAGCACACCGTATCAAGTTTCCTTTTCTTTTACCACACAGCATGCTTTTATGGCAGGGGGTATTACATATCTGATCCATTCAAGATTTTGCAAATTGTAACTTTCGAGGAATCTAAAGACAAAACTATCATCCCATATCTTCACCATTTTATTACATTATTATTCAGTCACTCACCGAAATAAATGGAGATTAAGGGGAACATATTATTTTCCTTCTCATCCTTTCATATATCACTATTTTACAAAGCCGTTCACAAATCGGTTCAAGGTCTTTTTGATCACAGCCAAATTGGAGGTGGAGAACCCAGGAAAAGTTCACTGAGGACAATCATCAGATCACTCAACTCAATCATCACATAATCAAAACAAACCTTCGATAATATGACGATGGATCAAAGCAACAATGATTCTGGGGGGAAATTCGAAACTCCATCGGAAAGTGAACGTCAGACCTCGGGGCACACCAGCCGAAACAGCAGCGATAACCCCCACTCCTTTTCACACATGGGGGACTTGTTAGAAGAGGCTCCGGAAGTTAGGATCGAAAGGTTAGGTAGACAAAGACCCGAGGTCTTCAAGTCAATATGGGCGGAGATTGGATTTGTCTTTTCGATCTCCATGTCACAGGTGCTCACTGTAAGTTCTGTCAATCATTTCCATTTCCTGACCTGTTCGACGAATTCTAACATCGGAGAAGGAATATTTTGTTTCTGGTTTCACAGTCATATTGCCCACTCTGGTCAAGAGTCTGGACATACCATCGGCATCCGCGACATGGCCTGCAAGCGCCTTTTCGCTCACTCTGGCTTGCTTTCTTCTGGTGTTCGGTCGTCTGTCAGATATGTATGGAGGGTATCCAGCATATGTAGCAGGTTTCGTTTGGCTTGCTTTATGGAGTCTGGTAGGTGGATTTTCCACCAATCTTGTAATGCTCAATTTTTGTCGGGCACTGCAAGGCCTGGGTCCGGCAATGTACCTACCTTCCAGTGTAGCTCTGATCGGCATCATCTATCGACCAGGACCACGGAAAAACTTAATTTTCAGCATCTATGGAGCATGCGCGCCACTGGGATTCTTCGTAGGCATTTTCTTCGCTGGATTGGTGGCAGAGTACACACATTGGGGCTGGTGGTTCTGGATTGGTTGCTTTTTGGCAGCCATAACAGCCATCACGTCTTACTTGACAATCCCTTCTGACATTGTCAAAAAGCGCAAGGTTCGCAAAGCACGTAAAGGCACTGATGATCAAGTGAATATGGATTGGTGGGGCGCAATTTTCATCGTCGTGGGACTTATTCTCTTTACTTTCGCCATCATCGATTCAGCACACGCACCGAATGGCTGGAAAACGCCCTATATCTATGTTCTATTCATTGTCGGCTGCTTGTTACTCATATTCGCTTCATACATCGAGACGCAAACTAAGAATGCTTTGCTTCCCGTCTCATTCTTCCAGGTGCCGTCCATGGTACCGCTAGTCTTTGCACTCTTCTTGTGCTACGGTTCTCTGGGGATTTTCCTACTTTATGCCACGTTCTATATGACTAGTGTCATGGGCGGCAGCCCGTTACAACTTGTGGCGTGGTATGCACCAATGGCCTTGGGTGGATGCATAATATCTACAGTTGGTGGCTTCGTTCTGCATCTACTGCCGGGAACAGCCCTTATAATTACAGCTGGAGTGGCCTGGATTGTTGCACCCTTGCTGTTCGCTATTGCTCCAGCAGGCGTCAACTATGTAAGTTATCCTCATAAGTTCCTCGGAAGTTTTCCAACAAGAAGCTGACAGATCTTTATAGTGGGCATATATATTTCCTGCAATGATATGTGCGACGATTGGTATCGACATAACATTTACAGTAGCCAATATCTTCTTCACTACGTCCCTGTCAGAATCACAGCAAGGCCTTGCTGGCTCCATGGTAATGCTCATTCTACACTTAGGTATCGCTGTTTGTCTTGGATTCTCAGATATCATTAACACTTATTCTCTGGATCGGCTGGGTCTTAGAAAGAGTTACCATGCAGTATTTTGGTTCGAGGTTGCATGTGCAAGCGTTTCGTTGATCATAATGGCACTCTTTGTCAAGATCAGGAGAGCAGAGAGTGAATTAACCGTCGATGAGAGAGTTGCGGCGTTGAACGACGTACAGTTGGTGGAGGAAGATAGATCGACTGCTCGGACGAGGAACTCGGAAACGGATGGTGCAAATGATGGGAAGTTGAATTGATTTCGTACGCGTCAAAAAGTCTGATTTATAGATTAATGAGTTTATGCGGAGTTAAAAATACCCTCAGGTCGTTGGATCTTAGGCGTTCGTGGATTAGAGCAAGTAGAGCAAGAGTAAGATACTATAGAAATACACTACTCTATTACTTCTCATTCTTCATATGACGGGTAGCTTTGGTCATACATTATTTACTTGACCATGGAGTATTGGCTAGTTAACAATCTCATTTGTCTTTCATTTTCATAAAACATTGGATGTTAAAATACTCGAATAGTAATTTCACACCTGTATAGGGTTTAAAGGGAGGTTGATTGCTGACATATCTTTCTTCAGCGTTTCCTCATGCAGCTAGCGTCCGGAATCTCGGACTCTCATCTCGTTCCGATATTCTTCAACCTCGATCGATTGATTTATCTTCATGTCCATCATCAATCTCAATGAAAAAGGGCATGAGCAAAATATTCCACTGCTCACGACGTTTTCTCTGCATGTTATTTACCCATATTGTTGCATGATTTGACTCCATTATGGACCTTTCAGAATCCGCTCATTCCGCTCATTCCGCCAGTGTGGAGAGTGCCACGCCAGTTCCTAGTAAACTAAGGCGCTCGTGTGAAGCATGTCGGTCATCCAAGGGCAGATGTCTACCGAGTAAAGATGATCCTAATTGCTGTGCAAAGTATGTCACCTGAATTTTGATCACGGAATTTTGAATCAAATTGACATGCCTGTAGATGCTTGAAGAGGAGGCAGAAATGTGTTTTTCTGGAGACGAAACCTCGACCGAAGAAGATGAGATCTTCGAGAATGTAAGTCTCTATATTGTCTATTGAACATCCGATACTGATCAATCATCAGCCGTGTTACGGAGATGGAACAGAAACTTGATGGAATCTTAAATATCTTGGCCGCCAAAACTCAAACTGAGTCTCAGCCTAATCCATTCTCGGCACCTATATCTCCACCAGAAACCATGTCGTTGGATCTGTCAGAGATTTTCGAGCTTTCTTATCCATCACTGCCGATGGAAGACGCTATTCCTAAGCCATTTCAGCAAATATCCATACCAACGACCCCTCATTTTGGATTTAGAGACTTTCAGGATACCATTTCGAAGGGTGTCGTCAACATTAAACAGGCTGAAGAGGCTCTGGAAGAATTTGCTGGTAAAGCTTCAGCCTTCCCTTTTGTGCTCCTTCCCCCGCACACTTCTCTAGAATCTCTGCGGCATGAACGGCCTGCCCTGTTACTTGCCATTCTGGCGAGTACATGTCAAAACAACATCCCCATTCAAAATATTCTTGAAAACGAGCTACTCGAAACCCTCAGTAGCCGTATAATTATGCAAGGAGAGAAAAGTATCGACTTATTACAGAGTTTACTTTTATATCTTGCCTGGTAAGACTTCACAACTGTTTCTACACGATTCAAAGAAGTTATTTATTCTGACCAAGCTAGGTATCACTACCACTACAGCCCAGCGAAAGACAATTTATACCAGCTCACACAAATGGCAAATGCTATGGTGATTGACCTTGGGCTTCACCGACCAAAACTGGGTGCAAACCAAACAAGCTACTCGAACATCCTTGGCTTTGAGTGTCCCACAGGATTGACCCCTGTTCAGATAGAAGAAAGAAGAACCCTTGTCGGATGTTTCTGTCTGACATCATCGTGAGTCTTCTCTCTTCATGTGGATCAAACGGGAACTAATGCCTTTTGGAGAATTTGCCGCGGTCTGAGAAGACTCAATAGTCTCAAGTACCATGATTATATTGAAGAATGTGGTCAAGTATTATCGGAGGTCAGCGTTGCCGAAACTGATAGGCTGCTACCATTCTTTACACGGATTCATCGTCTTGGCGAGGAGGTTAGCGACGCTTTTGATTATTCCAATCACGGGCAGCTGGCCAAGCTTGATTCCGTACGAATTGAAATATTCAATCGGTCATTCGCTCAGCAGTTCCAAGATATCCAAAGATACTTTCCCCAAGAAGCTTGGAACAATAGTAAGTACTGTATCTAATGTTGAGAATGTTGATCATATTAACTTTGGCAGCTGTATTGAGAGCATCGTACGCACATCTCCGCATATATGTTACTGAGATTTCTCTACACGCCGTGCCATCAGATGTCGACCGATTCACGACAAACACGCCATCCATCCGAACCTCCTGGTATGATTCTCCCACGCGAGCCGAGATGTTGATTCGATGTCTACAAGCTGGAAAAGATTTCCTCGATACAATCTTATCACTAACAGCCCTTGAGTTCGGCCGCCTTACCGCACCAAACTACATTGATTGCTTCTATGTCCTCCTCCTCCTCGGGAAATTCACTCAAGGCTGCGAGTCCCCCTCCCTCGATGGCGAACAAGTCCGCCAGGCCGCCAACCTCCGCTACTACCTGGACGCTCTCGACGAAAAACTCGCCGCGCTCCTCGTATACAACAATGGCCAAGTCCAAAGAAACAACATCTGGAATATGAAACTTCTCTGTCATGAAATCAACAGGTGGTACACACAAATTGTCTCTGTAGCTCCCGGTTCGGACCAAGCAATGCTCGGTAGTTTAAACATCTCATTTACAGATATCGTACCTTCAATTCAGGATCTTTGTGGTGAGGTCCTTGATTCCTTTGCCTATCTGAAGCCGGGCGAATGTCCGTCGCCGAATATGATGGGGGTATTAATGGCATTTATGGCAGCGGGGAGAAATGTCACGACTGAGGAGCGTTGTTAACCTGTCTTATTATTGCAGAGATGGGAAAGGGGCTGGATCTTTGCTGTTCCTTTGATACTTGGGGTTTTGGGCCAGAGAAATTGCTGCTGGGGATATATGAGCTCGATTGGAAA